ATGTAATATGGAGCTACTTCTCATGCTTCATGTAACTTTTCATACAACTCTTTATATGATATAAGTATAGCATCAACATGAGAACCGCCTTTTGTCTTGGATTGAACCTGAGTTTTAGACGTCGGGAGCAGACTAAACTTTGACGATTTCAAATTGCATGATTTCTTCTCATCTCTAGAAGCTTTTACAGTGGTCACTATTTCTTTAGTATCTCCAGACAATTTGTGAATACTAATGATGACTGTCTGTAATTTCTCAAGTTGGTTAAGATCCGAAGTCCCTTGCGTATCTGACATTGCAGGGTTAAGTTCATTGAGCTCTCTTTCTTTTTGTGCAGGAATTTCTTTTCCTTTGTCCAAAAAAGATATTCTATCCATCATCTTGGACATCTGCTCTCTTATTTCTCGTATCTCCTTTTGCTCTTCAATGGACACATGATCTTTAGGTGCATAGCTCTCCTCTATCTTCAGAGTTCCCTCGGGATGTCTTTTCTTGGCCGCATCATATTTTGTCTGATCATAAAACTTTTTGTCCATTTACGATTTCTTTCCAATATGATGAACAGTCTTTCAAGTAAACACCTTTTGGTTATGCCATGGTCATGCAATGCAAACAAAAGAAATCAATATGAACAGATTAGAGCAATGTAACATGCATAAAAAAATAAGAAAAAATAGAATAGTTAGTACCAACTAATGGAAAAAAATCTATCTATCAAGGTATAAATCTTAACCTCATGCTTTCTAGTTCCATGCTTTGTTTGAAAAAATTAACCTAACCGCATGATTTCTAGTTCGCATGCATTTATTCGGGAAAAAGAAAAGGAAATAAATTAAATTAAAAGCTAGAGTTTATTTCTCCTTTGTGTATACCTACTGACAAAATTTCGGCATGGTTTCAGATCGGGAGAATTTCTAGGGTTTATTATATGCAGGTTTTCAGTTCTAGGAGTAAAAGTACTCGAACTGTCCTTGTTGATTCCCCCTTGGGCTGTCAAACCCTCAATCCTAGTCCATTACAGACTAAAGTGAATCGAGTTCAATTCGAGGGGACACATTTCTCTATGCCTGACACGGAGAATAAATTCTCACGAAGACATAGAGCATATGAACCCCGAAAGTTACTTGCTAGGTCTGACACGAAGAATAAATTCTCACGAAGACGTCGCTTTCACTCCCACTTAAAAGGGACAAGCTTGATTAAAAAGCTTATGTTATGTAATGCATGTGTTGTGTGTGAGGAGAAATGTTCAAACCTCTGATAGAAAAATAAATAATTAAATTTAATACTTGAAAATAAAATAAAAGCATTAATAAAATTATATATATAAATATTAGAAAAATAATAAGTATATATAAAAATTTTGTAAAGAAAGAATTAAAAATTAAATATATGAATTTTTAATTTCTAATTAATAGAGACAATTTATAATTGATTTCAAAGTTTGACCGTCCCCAGTGGAGTCGCCAAGCTGTCGTAACCGTTTTTCGCCCGGGTACGAAATTTTTATTTTGGCGGGAAAGGTGATGTGAATAAATGATTTTTAAAATGTTTTGGGAGTCGCCATCGGCCTTTTGGGTCAGGTAGGTCGAATACCTAAAAATTATCTTTTAAAAGAGTTTTTAAGAAAATATCAGTTAAAAGATGAATTGATCTGCGTTTATAACCAAAAATTCGTTCTTTTTAATAATAAAAAGGGATTCGTGGTCGGTTACGTTTAGGGAAGGATTAGCACCCCTACAACGCCCAAAATTGGTACTTTTTAATTATACATTGTCTCTAACAATAGAATTTAAGAATTCAAATATATATTTAATTTATAATTCTTGTTATTTCAAATTTATTAATACTATAATTTTTAAGAAAATATATTAATTTATATATATTTATAAAAATATTTATTTATTTAAAAATATCAGAAAATGACTTCTAGGTGCTTTAAGATAGCTCTTTTATTCGATATAAAAAATAAATAAATATTGATAAAATATTTATCTAAAAATAATAAAAAAATTAGATTAATATATATAATTGATAAAAGTAAAATATTTATTTAAAAATATCAGAAAATGGACATCCAGTTGCTTTAAGACTGTCCTTTCTTAATATTTAAATATTAAAAATAATAATTTTTAATAATAAAATAAAACAATGTGTTTTTTAATTTTTATAAGTAAGATATTTATTTATTTTTAACATATCAGAATATGACATCTAGTTGCTTTAAGAATGCCATTTTCTTTGTTATTAAAAATAAATAAATATTATTATTTAAACCCAATATATATATATATATATATATATATATAATAATAATAATGAAAGTAATAATTTACATATATATTAAAAGTAATAATAAAATAATATTGCAAATAAATAAAATTAAATCAACTACTAATAATAAATGAAATCAAAACTATATAGTAAAAAACTAATGATTAAATTAGAATATATTAAAAATAAATATCTAATTTGTAAATAACTATTTAATATTTCAGTGACAGAACATGTAATTTTTCTTATTTTAATTTAGTGACTAAAATAAAATTGTATTAAATTCGAATATCATATTAAAATAAATTAAAAACATGAATTCGAGATTAAAATATTAATTATTAAAATTAAAGGATTAAATCAGTAATTTACCTACACAACAACAACAACAACAAAACCCTATTCCCATATGCAATGGGGTAAGGGGGAGGTAGGGTGGTAGGCTGCCCCAACGCCAGGTTGAGAGCAGCATCCGTGGAAGACTTCCGGCAGTAAGAAAATTAAAAATAAAGATAAAATATAATGCATAGATAAATAAGTAAATAAATACATAGTTGAAATAGTTGAACAATTTTCATACGCTGTCTTCATATACGCATCTGTAATTTGAAGTAATCCCTGCAAATAAATCCTTGCGTGAAAATCTTTGCTTATAGACAGAAACGTAAGTCCCGACTAAATTTAAAAGAGGAAACATGAAGAGAAGGATAAACAGAAGTCAGCGATAGCAAGCTGCGATAAGGAATAAAGTTAAAATGGTTAAGACCTAAACTAAGGTAACACTACTCCGCCACCCTAATTCTAAGCCTACATAAATTCCAATGACAGAAACATATAAAAAGTAGAATTCATGAAAATTACTACAAAGGCATTAAAAAAGAAGACTGAGATGCCCACACTACTTTGCTACCCTGGTCTTAAGTCTCCATACTTTCCTATTGGAGGTCATGTCCTCGGTAAGGGCTAAATCCTTTAAATCATATCTCAAGCAGTCTACCCACTTCCTCCTTGGTCGTCCTCTCCTTCTGGCACCGTCGACTGTTATCGACTCTACCCTCCTGACCGCATCCGACGGTTGTCGCCTAAGAACATGCCCAAACCACCGTAGTCTTCCCTCCCTCAATTTTTCGGATACAGGCACCACCCCCAAAGACATCCTAATTGCAGAGTTTGGTGTCATGTCCCACAGAGTCCTACCACATGCCCATCGAAGCATTCTCATTTCTGCGGCCTCCATCCTCCTTAAGTGATCCTTCTTGATTGCCCAACATTCAATCAGTAATTTACCTAAAATAGTTATATAAACATATTAATGATTAAATTATAAAGTAAACAAAATTAGAAGACCAAATTAAAATATTTAGAATTTGATTTCAGTGACTAAAATGGAATGTTACAAAACTAAGATGATTGCGGAAAGGGTTTGGCCAAAAGCGAAATTACAGATATACCCCTCCCTAAAACGGCGTCGTTTGGGAAGGGGTATAAATTCCCCAAACGGCTGGCTCTTCTGGCCAGCACTCTCGTTTCTCTCATTTTTCTTCTCTCTCTAACTGAGAGAGAAGAAAACTCTCTCGCTTCTCTCTAGCTTCCCTCACCGGAGGGAAGCCGGTTATCGACCAACAGCCGTCTGCCTTCGCCGTCCTCACCGTCGACCACCGCATCCGATGGCCGGGAAATTTTATTTTATACCAAAACGTAGATCGGACCGTCCTAATGACGGTTCCGGTGATCGTTTTTCTTAAAAAGCTCCTGATCGGAGCAAATTTATGAAAATACCTTCGGGTTTTGGTTGTTTCCAATGACGGTTGGGGCTCTCCGATGACAGAGTAAGTTTATTTCCTCTCTTCTATCTTTTTTTTCTGGTTTCTGTGTTGTGGGTTCGCTCTGCTTTGGGTTTGCTGTTGGTTGCTCTCTCTCTGTTTTTGCTCGCTGTTCCTTCCTTTTCTTTTTCTGCAGGTGGTCGATGGCTTTTATAGTCATCGACGGTGTGGCTCTCGGACCGGTCCCAAATGGTAACCCTAGGTGAATCACCGGACTATAGTGGTGACTCACCATAGGGCTTCGACGTGGGGAGGGGCAGATGGCCTTCTGGAAAGCTCGGTGAGGTGGCATGGCACTGACGGTGGCGTGGCAGCAGCTGAAGCGTCAACGTGGAGGTGGCAGCTGAGCAAAGGCGGCGGCTGGCCTTCTGAAAGATTGAGGCGTCTGGGAGCTAGGGTTTAGAAAACCCTAGCTGAACCCCCAAATTAATTTAGGGTTTCAATTGGGCCATCTGGTTGGGCTTCCAAATTTGTAATTGGGCCCCGATTTTGGCCTGTTTGTAATAATAATAATTTTAATAATAATAATAATAAATAAAATAATAATAATAATATCAATAAAAAATGGGTAAAAAATTAGTATCTTCATATACGCATATATTCAACCCCAAAACCATTAATGCTAATAAATTATACACATGATCAAACAAGGTAGAGGGAAATTTGATCCCAAGGGGTAATCATACCATTGGCTTTCACAAACTTCAAAGATACTCCTCTTTCTACGCCCGCAAAGCACTCTAGTTAGGCGGGGTAATCCTTGCTTGATCCGTCACTCCAAACACATTTGAGCTCGAGCTTTCATGTCAAGTTGATGCATCATCTTCAAATCTTAAGGTTTTTAAGTGCTTCCAGCTTTCCATTTGATACAAATGGTTTTGCACCTTGAATGATTCCAGTATCGTTTGCACCAGCAATACAGTCTTTGAGTTTCCACTCCATTACTGGTCCCAGTGCTCCATTCCTGGATAAGAAAAACAGAAAGTAACAATTAATCTCAAGAGTAACTTGAGATGCATGGAATCCTCTTCACAAAGTCAGAATGCTAAGAGAATTACGTTGGCACAACTTTATTGGATGAATCTTCAATTAACTTAACAGCCTCAAGTTTCTTGGTAGGATCCAAGGTATACAACATTTCTGCAACTGCCGCTCTATGCATCAAAGTATCTGCAGAACATAAAAGCGAACATTACGAGACTATACCACCTACCTCAAGGATCCCAAAATACATCACGTTAAATAAGCTCAATCATACCTTCATGATTACCAAGGAAATTTTTTTCTCCTGCAGTTGACTGCAGAAAGAGAAATAAAGGGATTTAAATCAGGGCCCAAACTGATAAAATATCAGTAATACAATGAACTCCCACTTAGAAGAATAACTATTATTAAGCAATTTCTTGGAAAACCTGATGGAGGGGCGCTCAGCTTCTAGGACGCTGCACACAAGTTTTTCTGCATCAGTCACTGGAGCAGGCATTGAGCCCACTTTGTGGAAAAATTTGATCTACTTTGCATAAAGTTCAAATAAGCAATATAAAGATTAGATTATCTTTGTAAAATTGTACCAAAAAGAATATAGTTATACTTTTGCAAGACAGTGCGCAATGCAAGCCAGATTTTACGTACCAAGCAGCAATGTGAATCCGGATTATCAGCATTAAACCTTAGCAGTTGCTTTATAGCCTTCAGGAAAAAGGAACAAAAACAAGACAACCATTGTTATGAGATCATGAAATCATAGTACCAAGAGTTCACAATAATTGCTCTTCAACTCAAAGATATGTTTACAGATTCTTTGACACTATGTAAAGATGAATTTGAGGGAGATGCCTTGGATTTCATTTGCTATATAAACAAAGAGAATGAAATGCACATACAATGTACAAAATAGTTCAACATAAAAAAATGCATTTCAAGTTCACACGTCTATGGATACTACAAAGCGTGTCTCCGAAGAACCAGGTCAGTTCTTCTGAAGTAACTTCAAGTACTTAGTAGCTTCCGACAAGGGATCCCCAGTCTAAAAGAAATATAACATTAAACAGAAACCTAGAATAATAGGCATTAGACAAACACAACTTTCCAGCACAAGAGGACTTCAATCAGGAATATAATGCGTAGAAGAAGAGATATATATAGGTAGGTAACCTTCAATAATTTTTCTCCATAATGATCTGGATCTATAGGTTCAACGTGTCGTTTCCCAGACTTAAACGTGCCACTAGCACTTGATCCTTCATTTTTCTCCTCTGCCACCTAAAATAAAGCACAAACATTAGATTAGATCATAAAAGAAATGTTATCCAAGAATCATTAAATCAAGCCTACATACTTTCTTAGCTCGTTCTGCCTCCTCTGCCTCTTCATGTTCTTTTTTTCAGTAGTCTTTGAAGTGTTGACATCTAATTCAGTTGGCGAGTTCAAACTAGAATCGTACAACTTTAAATAGTACCTGCACTTCAAAAATCAATACAAAGATAATAAGTTAGGAGTTTAAGTACTCACCAATTTTGAGCAAAGGTTTTCAGAAAAAAGAGACACCAGATGGAAACCATACGATGAATTAATCATAAAAACTATTAACTACGGTTATAATTAACAAATAATATAAGCTACAGTAAAATACAATTATCTATCCTTAACCTAACAGAAATCCAGGAACCACCTTCCTCTCATTTAACCAGCCACAATCTCAAGTTGCAATATGCACACAAAAAAATTGCTTATAATACAAAGTAATAAAGTAATGAACATAATACCTTCAAGAAAACTTTCATACAGAAAGGTTCAGACAATGCATTGTTGCAACTTTCAACTAACACATGATGAAAGCACCAGTATTCTATACAATCATCCCCCCATTTGCCCAAAAAAGCAAAAGCAAAAAGAAGCAAAGATTGATAATGATGGTGGAGTCTGAAATTCAGATATTTGAGATAAAAATATAAAATTGGAGAAGAAGATTTTAAGGTTGCAAGAGGAAAACCAAAAAAAATACAAGGAAACGAATTTACAAAAGGATGAACTATGAAGGCATACAAAGTTCAAACAAGGTCAACACAAAGCAGGAATCGGCAACTAGACCTTAAATTTAGGAAAGAATGTCACAAATGTAGAAGACGACGAAACCAAAAATCAAATGCAGCTTCTTTACCACGAGATCTCTACATTACAAAAATCCCCACTTGCACTCTATGTGTGCAAGAAAAGTGCATTCTCAATGGTTAAGAACCAACGGTTCAAGGCAATCTTTCAAATCAAAATTAAAACCCCATGCAGGAAAAAAAATAAAAACTAAAGCAAGGATCAATCATAATTGATTCAAAGTAAGGGATCAACGGCTCAAGATCAACCTTCATTCTTCATTGATTAGAAGTGCGGAATTAGTGACTAAAGAAATCTAGATGCATATAAGTAATAACAATGACATTGAAAAGACCAAAATACCAACTCAGATCAAATATAAGTTCATTCAAATGCTCACGATGATCAATATTGAGGGCGTAGATCAATTGCATTTTTCACTACAAAGTGCAAGAGGTTTGTTGCGTAAGTGAGTGCAAAACAAAGGTGAAAAACATATTATCAATGCAAGAAGTGAAGAATTCTTTCAATGAAAAAATGTGGCAGTCCAGCCACCATAGTACAGATGAACTCCAGCAAAAGGAAATGGTGCAAAATAAAAGCAGACCAGCTCATAAAGTGCAAATGAAGAAAAGCCAATTGGCTAACTGCTTCTGAAATTGGATCAATCTTGGTTTCAAGCACTGACAAGAGAAGTGTCACATTGGAAGTGCAAAATAACTGAACGAAGGCCATAACTCGTCCATCTTTTTAGATCTAATGCTGCTGCTGTATGTTTCCTTGGGAGTATGAGTTACATTGCCCTTTTACATCCTTTCATCATTAGTTTTTTTTTATTGCCAAGGTCTGGTCCAACTAAGAGTTCAATACTGTACCAACAGACCACATGGCTGTTGATTCACTGCACGTGCATACACCCTAGCGCGCGCGCACACAAGATGAACCTGATAAAAAAAATAAAGCACCACATGCATGTATTAATCAACAATATGCAACATACATTAAAACACCCAACAAAAGGAGACAATGGAGCATTTTACACCTGCTATCAAACAGAATAAATCTTCAATGAATCCCTGAAAAGCATGCAGAATGCTTCACCTGATGGCACCGGCTGCTGCTTTGTGAAAATAAGAATGTGAATGCAACTGATCTTGAAATTTTAGCATATCAACATATGCACGCAGTGTCATTTTCCGTAAACAATAAGAATGGAAATCAAATTGATCTTCAGTAATATCAGCATAGTGCTTCTCCACAGCTAAAAATTTTCTTCAGGACCCGTCCAAGATCACCTTGTCGAAAGTAGCTTTCACCAGAAGCAAGTTCATACCTTCAAAACATGAATAACACTCGGAAGATGCATCCAGATTATAATAAGAGATAGCTATATGCCTAAGGAAATAAACAAAACAGACCATATGGATCATATTGTGTCTGTGCAACCAAAAGGCAATATTGCATTTCTAGACATGAAAAAGGCATAGCTAAGAGATTGTATGACAGATTGAGGAGTAACAGAAAAATGCTAAGAATTGAAATCCAATTAAAGAATGAGGATTGGTGTACCCAAAATGGACACACTAGAATGCTATTTGCTTCTCATACACCTACAACCTCTGCAGATCTCTTGCACATCTGCCTCCTCACATCATTTCTTTCATCCTTCCGTCCCTCCCCATTTGATTCATCGCAGATGGGTTTCCAAGCCCACTATAAATGATAGGTTTAATACAAAAATAAGAGTATAAATTATATCCAAAATTAATTTTTTATGGCTTCAAAATTTTTCATTAAACACTACACTATTTAAAAATATTTTAAAAAAAATCCAAACGTGACATATTATTAACGGTTGAAGATCAAATTTACCGCCCCATACTCCATTACTCAAGTTCGGTTGTCACCGAAAACATTCTTATTTACTTTATTTTTTTTATTTTCACTATATCATTGAAGGATTATGATTGACAATGTATTGTTGAATGGTTCAAATAGAACACTACATCCAGAGCAGTTTAACAATTAATCTCAACTATGTACTACCTCGATCCCACAAGAATTGCATCAGTTTGTTACTTGTCTTCCTGCCTACCATCGCATCAGTTTTAATCTTAAAACATTGTTGACTTGTCTCCCCTGTTCAAACTTTGTTCTTAATTTAATTGAATTTCACCCTCTTCAACAATTAGATGAACCGGGGATTTAATCAAGTCAGACAGATGAGATCGAAATCAAGAAAGATCTTTCAACTTAAAACTTGAAAACACTTGTCACCAAATGCAATGATAAAATTAAAGAATCATCTACTGGACAAGAGCAGAATCCAATGCTGCAATATCTCAATAACTAGCCAGCCTCCAAATAAAAAGAAGAAACTCAAACATTGATGATGTACTTCTCAAAACCAAGCTCAACCCATCAACCAGACAAGTATGCTTTCACCAAAGAGAGAACGACATCACCTGTGCAAACAAAAAGTTCATCAAGCAAACAGCTGATGCACAATAATTCTTGTTCACACATTTATAAAGCCCGCCTAAACTTCTCACAAGCTTCATTAAAAATTCAAGCCACAAGAAAAACCTGCAAGAAACCATAACAGCAGTTTCATAACTTTTGCGGAGCAAGCCAGAGAGAGAGAAATATCATTTTATCTAAATATATATCCATACCGCGCATTTAAAAAATGGAATGCTACCCATCAGGCCATAATAATATTCTTAAACTGAATGCAGCATGAGCAGGCGTTTGTCACATATAACTGTCAGAACAAAATTGGAAGAAAGAAAGAGAAGTTAAACAATGAACAAGAACACCTCCAATTAATGGGAGAAGATAAGTACTGCACATGATAAACCAATTCAGAACTCATTTATGCTTTAATGCCAAGAAAAAAAAACTTCAAAACTGCCAAAATGCAACAGGGCCATGTTAAATCAATGAAATAGTCTCTCAAGTGACAAGAAATCTTCAATCTCTTATTGGGGGGGGGGGGGGGAAGGAGGGAGAGAGGGAACGCAGACATGTAAAGTGCATAATTATTTATGCTTTTCTTGGACATCAAACAACTGCCTAAGGACTAATAATTAATAACTAGTTGCAGCCCCAAGTGTTCCAGGTCAAAATCTGGAGATGACAAAGGGCAAGGAAGAAAGGCCTGCACCACCAAGTAATTCACAAATAAGAATTCCAAACATCCACAAAGATAATAACAACTTTGAAATTTTTTTACCTTCATCAGTTTTTATTGGGACAGGCTCCATCATAAATAAGTAAATCACTTGCTAAAGCTCATTTCTGAATATCTGCATGGAAATGAATGACAAAACAATTCAAGAGGCATACATATAACAGATGATAGAAACAGAATGAAAAAAATTTCCACCCATCCACAGAAAAACCATAAGATTTTCAACTTGCCTGCGAGGCTGCTTATTTGGGTTATTGTGTCGTTGCCCAAATTCATCACTCGCAGGCTCTGCATAGGAAAGTTGTATAACTACCAAAATATAAGAAACAGGAAAGGTCTATGTTCAGAAATCTCAGATAAAGGCACGAAAATAGCTTACTAGTTTGCTGGGAAGGCTTCCATTCATTATTTGTTTTGTTAGACACATTTTCTTCGCTGAAAAGGGTAATAAAATATTATTAAACAATCAGCAAGAAAAGATAACGACCAACTTTTAACTTGTAAATGGCATAAAACATAACCAGTTACACTTCTATATTATTAGAATCCATTTACTCCCACCCCACTTCTCACACACTTAAGGTAAGGTAAATTATGAAACACTTTAAGGGTGCAAGGTTATGACCATCAAACAATCTACTGATAAAAAATTGCAAACTGCATCAATGGACCATTATGGAAATAAATTAACATGAACATGAAAACTAATAAATACACTTTTAGAACATCTTTCAGCACTTATTTTCCATTTTAAAGTAATCTACGTGAAAAGAAAAATATTTTTATATCCCGTTTAAACCAATCATACAATCATCCTCCATAAGACCTCCCATGTCGCACCAAACATTTTGGTCAGGGTCCAATAAAAAGAAGAAATAGCTGATATTGAATGAACAGAAAAATGGATATATAGCTAACACATTCAGCTGAAGTTAATTATGTTTTAATCCTGATTGGAGGGGTTTCTAGCAAAAAATTCCAACCAAATTTTAACCTTCAAACCTGACAGCAGGGAGGCAAATATTTAATGCTTCCAGCAGGACACCCATGATATTAAAAACAAGCAGGTTGAGGTGACCAAAAACCAATCTACCAACCTTGAGGATCCAGTCGAAGATATCTGTCCTGATGGACGAGCATGATAAGACCCATCAACTGCAATATAAGGTGGACAATATGTTGCCCCTAAAGCTCCAGCTGCACCCGTCAATACTGGCAGCCTAAACATGAACATGAAAGTCGTTAATATGCTTTTGGCTCCGACATATAAATTAATCAGATTACAATAATTGAGGACATGTGACCGAGGTAATTAGCATTGCATTGGTAGTCAAATCATTGTCCACGGTCCACACTCTAAGCAATTATCAAATTACTCTTTCGTTACTCTCAAAATCTGTTGCAAATGGAGAATAGCCATGAAAATATTATCTACAAAATATGGGGAGTCCTAAAAGCTGACTGCCTGACTCATAACTAACCCTTATTGCATAATGGAAAGATAACTAAAAGCCATGGGGGACAAACCAAGATCATCCTTATTTCTCAATAGAAAACAGATGCAGTTACAGGGGAAGAATCACTATACCATGTCATTTCAGAATTTCCCCTACCAAGTTGCGGCTGGGCAACATATCCAGGAAATGCCATGCCAACAGAAGGAACACCAAGTCCACTAGGGTGCTGGCCCCCAAATTGCATAACTGCATGTCAATAATTCAAGGGGAAAAAACATTAAAAATTGAGCTTATGGAGGCTTTAATACCAAGAATTAGGAAATAATAGAACTGAATCTCAGCAACTCTGTACATAAAAGATATTCCCTAACTTCCCATAGTATTTTGAACACAAATAACTCAAATAAGATCCAACCTCTAGCCAAAGCCAACCCAGGAAAAAAGCATATACAATGAAAAGCTACATCCCAGGAATCAAAACTACATCTGATCCCTATACTCAGATGAAAACTATATCTAATATCTCCTAAAACATTTAATCCATGCAAAACTTCACACAAAAACAGCACCAAGTATTTAGTGTGCACAGTTCCAGATAAGGCAATTTTCCCCTTCTACATTGACTTGGTAGATATTGTTAACTAGATAAATTATTAAAGAGCTATAAATATAAAAGCTTTACCAGGCAGAAAGGCGGGAAAGTTTTGATCACCCTGGTTGACAGCAATACTCCCACTAGCTCCCATAATCTGAGCTCCACCATAAAGAAAAGAGCCCCTTCCAGCTCCTTGAGCACTTCCTTTTCCCTTGCTCACCAATGCATCCTTGGATTTACTTGTTTCTGACGATTCAACCTCTCCAGATTCATAGGAACCGCCTGACGTGGCTTTTTTTGGAGGAGAGGAAGCTTGAGACCCAACAATACTAGGATGCTGGCCCAACTGCTGAGCACCTGCTTGTACAGAAGAAAGTGTCCTGCCTTGAACAGAACTTCTCTGAACAGAATTCACCTGCGTTGGTGGAGAAAATTTGTTTACTTGGTTCTGATGAGGAGCTGGCTGATAGGCCTTCTGTCCAGGGATAGCTAAACCTCTCCCTTGTACCCGGGAGTGAGAGGGCTGACCAGTATTACCTAACTGTACGTTGGTTAAAGGCTTCACATAAGCTGACATGCTGGAATCATCTGTATAGAGCTTGGCCATGCTGAGAGAATCAAGTACATTCTTCCCTTGTAATGAATTGGGCTGCGGAACAGAAATATTCTCATCTGTCACAGAAGGGTGAAGTTTCCTGCTTATGCTTCCGGCTTGCATGTCCTTCTTCCGAGTCAAAGTAATGTCTTTGTTGGAAGACCCTAATGGATAGAAGGGGGGAGAAGCAGAACTCAAGCTTGATTCAACAATATGTTTCCTAGCAGGAACTGAAGCAGTGTCTGCATTTGTTTCAGGAATGAAAGCTCTACTTGAATTGGATTGTGAAGTTCTCTCATGAGGCTTCCCAGAACTAAAACAGTTTACTTCAATGTCATGCAAACTTAATCATGGTAGGAATAGAGAAAAATTAAGGAAAAAAATGCACATATGAATGCTCACAGTTTGTTTTGTGTTGGAGGTGCCTGACTGCTATTTCTCATATTAGGTTCATACCTCCTAGGTCCTCTCCCTCTTACAGCCTTAGAAGCATGGTTCTGATTATTGCTTTTCCCAGATGCTTTTGACCTACTTCCTCTAGGGTAACCACCATCTGGATCCCTATTTTTACTCCGAGTTCGATATCTACCTCGAGAAGATCTTCCTCCCTGAATGTGGAAGGAAAAATATTATCAGTAGGGAAAGAAAAAAGATCAAATGATAATAATACAAGAAAAAAAAAACAACTTATCATTCAAGTTGAATATGTACAAAACCCTTACGCCTTCATAATGTTTTTCTTGCAAATTCATCTCCTCAAACTTATCATGTCCCCATTTCCTATCATATTTGGATTCCCACAATTTCCTGCCACCGTGTGTTCGCCTAAAACAGAAAAATCAGGTTGATACACAACTTAGAAACGTTTACAAAAGCTTTAATGGAAAAGGCAGGGCAAGGTAATGGCAACGCAAATAAGAGTGTAAAGGAAGAAAAAAAAAGCAAAGTAAAATACTGAATATTAAACCCATAAAAATATTAAATCAATACCAGAAATCAAGCACCGGAAACAAAGTCATTGGATTATTAGTTCAACAGTCTCATTAATAAGGTCAACAGTTGAACTATATGGATAAATCTTTGCAAAATATGCCCAAGATAATAAACAATCCGAGTCTTTACTCACACATACCAATGAAATATGGGTATAAAATATAAATGAAGATTTGGAGCATAAAAACCTATTGTTACCAAAATTTCATGTAGTTGTCATAGCATTCCCAGTATGGATGAAGAGTATTTGATTATTCAAAGTAAATTTTTATAGATAGTCATGTTATTAATTAAGATGGCAATTTAGACCCATAAAAGCTAAAGATTAAATTTTGAATACCTATGACGACCACCAACATTGTCTCGGAATCTATCATCGTGCATATAGAATGCCCCAGCAGTTGGCACTGCAAATGGCTCATTTTCATTCTTTTCTTCTTCGCCTTCTTCTCCTACATGATTATTATCATTATTGTTAATCCCCATTGCCTCATCCACATTCCTATTCCCATCAACCACCCCCCGATTCCTTTACATCTTCTCTGTTCCTCTCCACATTCTCTTGCAACTCTCCTTTCCTTACTTCCTCTACCTCCTCTTCATCAAATTCCTCATCCTCTTCATCATACACTTCGTCGTCGTCGTCTAAGTCCAATTCTTCTTCGTCGTCGTCATAATCTGCAGCACCGCCCTGATCATCTGATTCATCGGAATGAATCACAGCCCTCCGATCCACCCTTGCCTCAGTGTTCTTAGCCTCTTCCCTTTCATCTTCCTCATCGTCACTCGCCGCCTCTCTCCTTCGCATCGCCAGTGACCGCTTCGCCTCCTCTGGATCACTCTCGTACTCCACCTCTTCTTCACCCGTCTTAGCCATCAGGTCCTCGCCAACCAAAACTAACTCGGATAAAACTTAGATAATAAAAAAAAACAAACTTTGTAACGAAGCAAAGAACAAATTCAAAACTAATCGCCTAAAAGTCGAAGATAACCAATACCCAAGAAGCCTTGAAATTGAAGGGAAATTTAGAAGATTTATTTTTCCAAAGAATGGGATCTACGAGGAAGCGTTATTCAGGAAAACCCTAGACTTTACAGACTAAAAGAGTTTGGGCAAAACTAAAACTCAACGGTGAGAAGAGAAGACTTCGTTTTGTTATGAATTGTTTTTTAGTGGTACTTAAGAGTTGAGAGGATAGAGTTACT